GAGAGCTAGCTAGATGTGTAGTGTGTGAAAAGTGATAGTTGACGTTGTGGTCTGTAGTGGTCGACGCTGGTATAGGAAGTAGGCGATTGTAGGCAGTGGCAAAGCGACAATGAGTAGTGTGTGAGGCAGTATGGAAGACGTGGGTCTCAATTTCGGCTGTGTTTTGGTGTGGTTGATATAACGTGTGCACGAGCGCCGTTGGTTTAGTGGTAAAATATCTCGTTGCCAACGAGATGCCCCGGGTTCGATTCCCGGACGGCGCATTCTCTTATGCCGCTCGACTTATTGGCTGCTGGATGTTTCGTGCGTGAGCTGCTACGTCGTGTTGCTAGAGTTATGACGGTGCTGTCTCTTGTGTTGATGTATATTTGTCTGTTTGTCTGTTTGTTGGTTTATTGGTTTGTTGGTTGGTTGGTTGATGGGGTGGACAGGTGCTATTATGAGCTGTCGCTGAAGAGATTGAGAGCTTGCTGGATGTGTAGTGTGTGAAAAGTGAATGAGAGCTAGCTAGATGTGTAGTGTGTGAAAAGTGATAGTTGACGTTGTGGTCTGTAGTGGTCGACGCTGGTATAGGAAGTAGGCGATTGTAGGCAGTGGCAAAGCGACAATGAGTAGTGTGTGAGGCAGTATGGAAGACGTGGGTCTCAATTTCGGCTGTGTTTTGGTGTGGTTGATATAACGTGTGCACGAGCGCCGTTGGTTTAGTGGTAAAATATCTCGTTGCCAACGAGATGCCCCGGGTTCGATTCCCGGACGGCGCATTCTCTTATGCCGCTCGACTTATTGGCTGCTGGATGTTTCGTGCGTGAGCTGCTACGTCGTGTTGCTAGAGTTATGACGGTGTTGTCTCTTGTGTTGATGTATATTTGTCGGTTTGTCTGTTTGTTGGTTTATTGGTTTGTTGGTTGGTTGGTTGATGGGGTGGACAGGTGCTATTATGAGCTGTCGCTGAAGAGATTGAGAGCTTGCTGGATGTGTAGTGTGTGAAAAGTGAATGAGAGCTAGCTAGATGTGTAGTGTGTGAAAAGTGATAGTTGACGTTGTGGTCTGTAGTGGTCGACGCTGGTATAGGAAGTAGGCGATTGTAGGCAGTGGCAAAGCGACAATGAGTAGTGTGTGAGGCAGTATGGAAGACGTGGGTCTCAATTTCGGCTGTGTTTTGGTGTGGTTGATATAACGTGTGCACGAGCGCCGTTGGTTTAGTGGTAAAATATCTCGTTGCCAACGAGATGCCCCGGGTTCGATTCCCGGACGGCGCATTCTCTTATGCCGCTCGACTTATTGGCTGCTGGATGTTTCGTGCGTGAGCTGCTACGTCGTGTTGCTAGAGTTATGACGGTGCTGTCTCTTGTGTTGATGTATATTTGTCGGTTTGTCTGTTTGTTGGTTTATTGGTTTGTTGGTTGGTTGGTTGATGGGGTGGACAGGTGCTATTATGAGCTGTCGCTGAAGATATTGAGAGCTTGCTGGATGTGTAGTGTGTGAAAAGTGAATGAGAGCTAGCTAGATGTGTAGTGTGTGAAAAGTGATAGTTGACGTTGTGGTCTGTAGTGGTCGACGCTGGTATAGGAAGTAGGCGATTGTAGGCAGTGGCAAAGCGACAATGAGTAGTGTGTGAGGCAGTATGGAAGACGTGGGTCTCAATTTCGGCTGTGTTTTGGTGTGGTTGATATAACGTGTGCACGAGCGCCGTTGGTTTAGTGGTAAAATATCTCGTTGCCAACGAGATGCCCCGGGTTCGATTCCCGGACGGCGCATTCTCTTATGCCGCTCGACTTATTGGCTGCTGGATGTTTCGTGCGTGAGCTGCTACGTCGTGTTGCTAGAGTTATGACGGTGTTGTCTCTTGTGTTGATGTATATTTGTCGGTTTGTCTGTTTGTTGGTTTATTGGTTTGTTGGTTGGTTGGTTGATGGGGTGGACAGGTGCTATTATGAGCTGTCGCTGAAGAGATTGAGAGCTTGCTGGATGTGTAGTGTGTGAAAAGTGAATGAGAGCTAGCTAGATGTGTAGTGTGTGAAAAGTGATAGTTGACGTTGTGGTCTGTAGTGGTCGACGCTGGTATAGGAAGTAGGCGATTGTAGGCAGTGGCAAAGCGACAATGAGTAGTGTGTGAGGCAGTATGGAAGACGTGGGTCTCAATTTCGGCTGTGTTTTGGTGTGGTTGATATAACGTGTGCACGAGCGCCGTTGGTTTTAGTGGTAAAATATCTCGTTGCCAACGAGATGCCCCGGGTTCGATTCCCGGACGGCGCATTCTCTTATGCCGCTCGACTTTTGGCTGCTGGATGTTTCGTGCGTGAGCTGCTACGTCGTGTTCTAGAGTTATGACGGTGTGTCTCTTGTGTTGATGTATATTTGTCGGTTTGTCTGTTTGTTGGTTTAAAATTTTTTATTTTTTTTTTTTTTAAAAATATTTTTTTTTTTTTTTTTGTTTTTTTTTGTCAACGCTGTTTTTTTTTTTTTTTTTTTTAATTTTTTTTTTTTTTTTTTTTTTGTTGTTGTTGAAAATGTTATTTTTTTTTAAGTGGCAATTGTTAGGCAGTGGCAAAGCGACAATGAGTAGTGTGTGAGGCAGTATGGAAGACGTGGGTCTCAATTTCGGACGTGTGGTAGGCACTCCCCGACGTGATGAGATATAATTCGGTACTTGTCTTGGCTCATTTCTGATTGGTTAAAAATTTGACTTTTCAGAAGCCCAACTTTCCCTTGGCTGCACACACGTTGCCGTTTCGAAGCATCCTGCTTGTCGTCCGCGTCTTCCGCTCGGGCCTCAAGCAGTGGCATGCCAGTCGGTCCTAGTGGCATTCTGCCACGTGATTAGCGACGGAGGACCCTTTGATTCTAAGCAGGAGTCACCGTACCGATCCGCTGCGGAGCTACGGTATTCGAAACCGTACCGCCGGGCCAACGACTTACCGCTGCCGATAATGAGCAGCTGTTAGTCCATTTACGGACGCCGAGGTGCTTTCAGCTGTCGCCGGACTCAATCGACATAAATTGGCTGGACCCGATGGGCTGAGCAACGATTTTTGCAAGGATACGGCAGCGATCATGGCCACTGCTCTAGTCATCACCAGCAACCAAATACTGGTGGTGTCGGAGCTGCCTTCTTCTTTCCTGGAGTCCCTTATCATCCCGCTTTGGAAAAGAGGAGACTCCGATGACGCCATGGATTATTGACCGATCGCTATGATGCAACAAGCTACGAAGTCTTCGACAAGGTGCTATCAACCAGGTTACAACACTCTTTACCCTGAGTAATCAGCGCTTCGCAGCAAGGTTTTGTTCACGGGCGAAATTGTCGAAATTAGTAATGATGATGATGGCTCAACTTACGACGGCAGCAAGCCATGACGACATACCAGCTGAGCAGAGAATATGTATCTTGTTACTGGACTTTCGAAAGGCGTACGATACCGGGGATCGCGAGTTCCTGTATGAAGCTCTACGCTTCATCGGGTTCGACGACCGGTGTGAAGCCCTCGTTTGGCGCATCCATACCGCAACGTCTGCATGGTTTGTTGTGAACGGTTGCCAGTCCAAGGAGCTCTCGGTAAGCTCGGATATTCGACAGGGATGTCCACTAGCGCCGCTGTTATTTCTGCTTGTGGTGGGGGTTCTCAGTCTCGCATTGCAGCTGGACACAACGCTAACGGGGTTGGACGCGCCAGGATCGCCGGGTCAAACACACCTATTTTTAGCGTTTGTCGACGACCTCATACTCTTCCTCGAAAATGCTGGGCTAAAATATAGCACGCTTTCAGCATTATCAACGCTTTTGGAGCACTGTCGGGCTTGCATGTCCAATCGACTAAAAGCCCAAGCTTTTTTAACAGGGAGATAGCTGTCGAGCGCTACGACGGATTGAAGTAGTTGCCTCCTGGAGGGACCACCCGATACCTGGGTCATTAGATCTTTTGTACAGGAGATTTAGAAAAAAAGAATTTGGCCCTTCGGATTCAAAGGATCTAACGACGCATCTTAATGGCAACACGGGTTGCGATAAGTGTGTAAAAACAGTTTGCATACTAAACTTTATAGCTCTTCCCTCTTTGCTGTTCACAGCGAGCGTATTCGACATCCCGAGGTGTGCAGAGAAGGAGTTTTACAATCTCTACAAACAACATTTGTGGGCACACGCTACTTCGACAGACCCAAGCCGCCATAAGGTCAACCCGGGTCTATTGATGACGCCTCGACATGCGGTAGGTATCGGGCTGGCCAATATGTCGGTCGCAGTCAAAACCCAACGCACCAAGCATGCCATCCTGTGGCTTACCCAACGACCGAACAAATACTTCGAAGCTTGGCGAATGTGGGCCTTTCGCGGGTTAAAGCAGGCTAATGCAGGGCAGTTGACTCAAGCGGAGGAGCTGCACCAGTCGGTTCCACGACAGTGCTGTATACCTAGGTTAGAGTTGGAGAGGAATGGCTAGCCTATAACATCGAACCAGCAATGTCACTTGACTGAGTGGGTCGCAACACACTGCGCGGAATAACTGAAAGGGGCGGATAGCTGGTGGAACGTTATACTTATGCCCTTTAGTTTTCCAATCGACCGATGGGCTACGATGACATGCCGGAAGAGATCTTGCGTTTCTGGTCTACGTTTGATTAGTCAGCGAACCCTTGAATCCGGGATCACAGCGGCAATGTGTTGGCCAAGCCGATCTATAATAGTATCGAGGCCTGTACGTTGGAACAACTCGGCCTGGCGCGTACGGGGACAATGGAATATGTTTTAAGGATTCCAAGGCCTGCTAACCAATCCAGGCCCCACTATGTAGCAAAATTACAGCGGTGGGCAACATTTATACTGCTCTACTCTTCAGGCATAGACGTAGGATCAAGCCTATGCCGCATTCGCACACCGCGGCTTCACCACGCTCCGCCAGATTTATCGACCTATGTTTGGTCGCTGGCTAGCGAAGGCGACATCGCAGGCCGGCCTCCGGACTTCAACGTAGAATATTACGTTGCGCCAAGGGACCGATGGCATGCACTGGATGTACACGGGACCCATCCCGGAGCTGGCTGATAAATTTTCTGTCGAAGGGCTGGCGTTTAGTCAAGAACTGAGGGAACCCGGTATCGTCTTCGAGGCGCGCCCACAGCTTCACAGGTTTCCGTGGGCGGGCGGTCGAACATATCCGTCCGCAAGGAGCTCAAACGGCAGGCCTTCAGTATCAAAAAAGGTGTTCGTCCGTCCCCTTGGGAATTCTCTGGACCGTCTGGAGGAACGAACAGGGCACGACGAATGGCAACGCGCGGCACTTGGTCAAACCCCGAAGCAAGCATTGCACCAACGTCAACGCCTTACGACTTATCAAGTATAACGGGATGCCGAATCGCAACGAGGCAACTTCCTCGTTCAAGCACCAAGACCTGTTTTTGGGCTACATGCATCTGCTAACTACGCGCAATCGCGACACGAGAGCATAGACAAGTGTTTTCGGCTATCAGGGTGCCATGCTGTATGCATGCATCGAGTTAATTGAGGACGAACCGATAGGGTCACCAGGCATTACTGGGCACAGCTTAGGTCAGCCTCCGGATCCTCCGGCGCTGACGTCATGGCTAAGGCTATTCAAGAGATCTTGCGCATAATTAATTCCGTGTAAATAGACCATCTGAACACTAAAAAAGTGCAAACTACAGTGTATACATCATGAATGTGCATTGCAACGCTCTTTTCACTACGTGTGCAATAGAACCTCGCTCATTCTAACGTTTGATCATGTTCGTTGAATACAAGATGGGTCTGTATGCTTCTCACCTCTTTGTCCCGTTATTTACGTCACCGAAGCCATTGGACATCATGAACTCGGACCGATTTCTATATTCATCATGGGATATCAGCTTGTCGTGAACATAGTTAAGTTTTTACTGCCTCGATCGCTGAGCATTTATTGGAATGCGAAAGGCTTACCGTTTCAAAGACTGTCGTTGCCAAAAAGGTTGAATTACAAGCTAACCGTGTGTAGGATTCCTTTCATTTTGCAATACTCTTTTAGTTGTTAGCTTCACGTTATCTCTTTAGAACAAATTATACATAAGAGCCAAACTTACATGAATGACCTCGACCTCCTATGGATGTTGCCTTATGTGTGTGTATTTTGTGACTACAAGAAATTGCTACTTCATATTTGTCCTGATTCAACTAGTTAACAACCGTTGAATAAATAATGAAAAGAAAAAGTACATGCACCTTGGTCAAAAGAGTGTGAATCCCGTTCACCTTCTCCAGCTTACACTTCAGGTTGGCGTTCGCGCGAACCACCTCTTTGGACACCATGGCCTCGTTGTTTATCATATACGACTGCTTAGGTATCTTCTTCTCTTGTCCTATTTTCGCACTGGCTGGCTCGGCCGATTTTTGTCGCCCTGGTGGGTCCGCAAGCCCTTTACAAGCTATCACGCTTCGCTCTTTGTCTACCATCGCCAATGACAAATGCGCGTTATTCTGACATTTCCTACAATTCTACTCCACCCTCAAGAGTGGCTGTTTCCTTCTTTGTGCACCGAGGAAATCATTACTACTCGACTAACGGTAATTTTCAAGTATGCATTCGACAATTGGGAGACCGTTCAACACGAATGGTTAGAACTTTTTACAAGTACTGCTGCGGAAACTGATGTTGTGACTAAGTTAGAAAACATTGAGAAAGAAATGCCACAAGAAAAACTGCTGACTCCCATTGACAGTTCGAGTGACAAAATAATGATCGTGGCGACTGACGAAGCAAGATCTCTACTTGCTGAGAAAAAAACAGCATTAGCCACTTTCGCATGTTGCGACATGCTCTCCCGAGCCAGCTTCTCCACGAAGAGAAGAGGGTATTTTTTGGAGTGCTGGTAGACACAAACTCAAATATCTCTGACCTCACGCCGCCGTATCGACGGGACGGAATTAGCTTCATTTTCGTCTTTTGTATTGACGCGCACGATGGATATATTTTGGTAACAATATTGCGGCGGCGAGCAAGCTGACCAAATCGAAAAAATGCGGACACTGATATTGTATTGACGCGCACGATGGATGTATTTTGGTAACAATATTCGGCGGCGAGCAAGCTGACCAAATCGAAAAAATGCGGACACTGATAAAATGGTAGTGGACATAGCGGACGAAGCCATGGAGGCTGCTGATGAGATGGCGGATGATGAAATGTTGGACGTGGAAGAAAAGAAGAGGGAAAATGTGGCGGTCGATACAAGCAAGGACAGCAAGAAAAAGATGAATGCTGACATAATCGCTTACAAAGACGCTGTGACCGGGAGCAAGCAGAATGCTTGGAACGCGTTGCTCCGAATGGGTCGACCACTATGGTACAGCACTTTCATGAAGGTTTCCCAAAGTCAAGTTTCCGTGGTCAATCTTGCAGCAAACAATCTGCTGGACGGAAACGTCCCCGCCATAGGCATTTACAGGAGGTGAACATGTTTGGCATCGCCTCCTTGCTTTGTTGAGTGGGTTTACGTTCGTACTCAACATCTTTGTTTGCCTCTCCAGCCGTCGCCAACTTAATGGCGATTCTTGCGTATGTAAATTACGAAAAAAAGGCTACGTGAGCAGCTACGAATCGAATCCAATACTCTCCTTGAGTGCGATGAATAGTTTTATTTATTCTGGCGTCTTCTTCTGAACAAGAGACTTTTTCGGAACGTATTTTTTGATGATATCTTTACTTGCGGCTTCCGCGAGAGCAACTGCGACTTCATCTTCTACGTTGTATTTGTATTCGAAAATACTCTCCAAACCTATAAGCAGTATATCCTTGACAATTTCATTCGTGTCTTCATCAACACATCTCTTCATTCTTCCAGCAGTCATAAAATCTTTTCTTTCAGTCGTTCTTTTATTGCCATCGTTCATCTTCTCTGTAAAGAGTTCGAAAATGCGGGCGTTCACAAATTTAGCCATTTCTTCAAAATGAACCATCTGGTCCTGCAATAGACACAATACACAACATTGTCAATACGAGGGAAGAACGATCGAGCAGCAGCGTAGGTTTAGTATGAGGGTGGTATACCTGTATCGATGTCTTGTCTGCGCTCTCGACGTGTTCCGTGTAAAGGTCGTCCATTGTGATCAAAGGGAAGAAGAATTGTGAGCGATACAGGTCACGTGAACGTTATTTCGAATCAGGACCTTTCAATCATTTTAATCACAGAGATTATCGCTCACTAAAAGTTAAGCTTGGTTTTACGCTAAAGTTATCGTGTTGGTTTTCCTACTTTAAAATGTGTGCCCAAAATCTGCTTCCATGAACTGAATTGTAATCTCCATCTAATAGTGATGTATGCAAGCACTAAAGTGTTGTATGAAGGATGCTTTTAGAGACATGATAACGGACTGTGAAGTCCCAGTATGGGAAGGAGCGGACTGTAAAGTCCCAGAGGTAGGTTGCTAGTAGGTTGCCGTGGGAGGCGACAGCAGATACATGTACACCTTTGGATATATTAAAAATTTTATTAATTTATTTTTTTATTTTATTTGAAAAAAAGTTATATATATTTGCATTTATTTAAACAAATATATATATTACTTATTTTTTTATGAACTTTTTAATTTATTAAAGAAAAAATTAAATTAAAAACCATTTTTTAAAAAATTGAAAAATTTAATTAATATTTTTTTAAATATTTATTAAATGTTATTTTTAAAGAAGATCCGTTTGTTGAAATAATATTTTTAAGATAATTTTTTTTTGTTTTATGCATATATATATTATAATTTAATATCTTGGCTAGATAACATAATGGTAATGTAAAGGACTGCCGGTTTTAATACGTCTCTAGCTTTTTAAAGGATAGAGTGGGATTTAAACCCACGGTATTAATAGTAGGAAGTTAGAACTTGTATAAGAAAGATTATGGACGAAAGTTTAAAATAATACGTTACGGATGCAAGCTGGTTCTTATTACAACAGGGTTTTGAGCCCAAATAGCCCGAAGATGACGGAGACAAAGTATACACGAAGGAGGGTGTTCCAGTTAATTAAAAAGGAGAGTTCTGGCACACGTACTTCGAAATCATGAAAATGACGTTTCAGGATATGGATGATGCCGACAAGCACTGGGATGTGGCATGTGGACGCATCAAAGCTGAATACTTGTAGACAGATGGGGGAAAGCAAAAGTTAGCCAAGATGGAGCGTAAAATTCGTATAACGATGCTATTGTCGCTCTCGGTTGAACTCGCAAAGCTTTACCGGACGGAACATATGAAAGCATCATGATGGCTGCTTTGACGAGACGGTACGCGAATCGGACGTCGAAAGTTGCTATTTTTCACAAAGTACAACGGCTTAAGGAAAGATTACGAAGCTTAAAGTACCATGTCGATGAAGACACCGTGGCTCATCTTCGGAAAATGAGAAGCAAGCAGCTTAAATTAGCTGACTTGGGGCAGAGCGTATCATAATGACGATGATGATGTACATTCTACAAAGCTTGCCGGCTAAGATTGACGAATGGCGTTGATCCACACGCATAATTGGTGTGTCAATGCTCCGGCGAAATTTATGGAAGAATTGGATGAGTGAATTCGGACAGCTAGTTCACGTTATCACAGTAAACAAGTGTCTGTTGTGAACACTGATAACAACATAAGTGTTCGCAGACCCAGGGGAAATCTTGAAAAAAACGTGCCAAGCCAGATAATTGGAGGTTGAAGTCTGACGGTAATATCACAAGAGAATCACGGACATGTTATGGGTGTGTTAGATACGGTCATCTCAAGCGAGACTCTGGATTCTGGTGACACTTACGGATCTAGAACGCGAGCGATGTTTACGACTTAAATGTAACGAGGTTACACGAAGGTGTGCATAATAATGATAGGCTATTGAGCCAGTAAATAGTGACAAGCACTAAGTATAGAGTAGATGCTCTATATATTTAGTGCTAGAAGATAAACATAAATAAATCAGTTTTAAACCTGCACTAGTTGCTAGAGCGTTCGATTCCGTATAGGAATTGTATCTTTGATACTAGTCTCTCTGAGACTCGGTTGTTGATACCGATAGGCACAAGCTTACGAGCTAGCCTAAGAAGGGTTAAGCACCCTAAGACGTAGAAGTTCTCTAAGCTTGTCTTCCTCTGCACATGGTGCATAAGTAGCTTTGCTACAGTAGCTCGGCTACACCTGGTAGCACTTGTAGTCAATCCGGCACCTGGGTTTGCGGCTACTTCTCTGTGTGAGAATGGAAATCGATGAGATGTCAGCGATTTGCCTGTCGCAGGCACAACAGGAAGGGTTGCAGAAGCTGCTCCCTATCTTTGGCCCTAAGGGCGTGAAGCACCTCATCGCCCAGGGCGAAGAAGAGGTTAACAAGCGTATTCATATGCTTGATGAATATAATAAAGCTCTAGTCGAGCATATAAAGGCACAGATACCTTCTTCTGCACCTTCGCCCATGGCGACTATGGCGCAAGAAGTGGTCCGCAGGCCAAAACCCATACAAATGGAAGTCGATAAGCTTGACGGCAAAGAAGGTAACAACCTTATGCTTTGGTTCCGACAGGTCGGGTCGGCTATGTTTATAGCCGACATCACCTATGAACCGTACCGTGTGAGCTTTGCCACGAGCAAGTTAGGTGGATTAGCCAAACAGTGGGCATTCACATGCGGTGCATCATTGCAAGATGCTTTTCCCACATGGGCCGATCTGAAAGTTCAGATGACCCGGTAGTATGCACCGACAAACCAAGCACACCGTAATTGGTCGCGGTTTTTGGTGTGTCACCAAGGCAAGCGTGAGCTTGCGGCATATTTACAAGAGTTGAGAACCCTTATTGCCGACATGGTCAGTGAACCTATGTCTGAGGCAGTGACCGTCACGGTCTTTATGGAGGGCCTCCGAGTTGGCAGAACAAAAGTCTTCCGGGTAAAACCGTCCTAATTCGAGGAAGCTGTTGGAGTGGCATGGAATGCCGAGAACAACTTTAAGGCCGCTAGGCCTGCTACTTATAAATACTCGTCTGTTTCTATGGACTGTAATCAAGTGAAAGATAAGGAGCTGAGCTTCATGCTGCGGAGCAGCTAATTGTGTGCGGATGTTATATCTGCAAGAGCACGGGCCATTTGATGGCAGAATGCCTTGGAAGAAGGGCATATTTGGCCTCAAAAGGCCGACTTCCTACATCCTCTGGTTTGCCGCCGGGAAACGGCGGGGCCCAGGCGCGGGGAGCTTTCTGAAGATAGACTGAGTTTTCTTTAGCTTTTAAGGTGGTAAAAGCGAGCAGTAATCAGCCTCAGATAGCACCAAACGCTCTGAAAAAGAACAAAATTTGCAAGCCAGAATTGCTAGTCGTCAAGAGATGATCAAGGACTTTGATATACAAGGATCATTTTGATTGATTCGGAGGAATCGAGCAAGAGGGCTCGACGCACTACCGTTTGAAAGTAGTCAGCAGTATGCTGAAGCGCTGATAGCGCGTGAATATGTCACAGTCACGGCTCGCTTTGCGATAGGGACGCGTGTTACGGCACCCACGTCCCGATGGACTTAAATATAAAGTTCTTGGACTTTAAGAAATGAATCGCTGTTTGGTGTTAGATCTATGTCAGTACCTTGCCACCACTGTCACTTGGAACATTGTCTTGACACTTTCGGTGTACATCCGCACAGGTGTAAAGTGATTCGCATGTCAAATGTGTCATATAGTGGGCTTTCATCCATAACACTGACAGCTTGCAGGCCTCGTCCGGGACTACTGTCCTCAACACTTACAGTGCTTACAATTTCAAAAACCCGATACGATTCAGTCCAATATATACCAAAAGATCCTGGTCCGGTTGGGGTGACATCCTCCGAAATATTAAGCCAGCATGATGCTAGCTCAGGCCTTCCGACGAGTGCTTCACCGCGTCCGTCAGTATTTGACAGGTCTATCGCTCTACATAACTCTCTTTACCCCTCTCACCTCCAGCCTTTATCCAAGCCGCCACGACGCCCGCAGCCACGCCCGAAGTCCCGACACCTCCGCTTAGGTACGTTTAATGTGCAATCTATTGGTTCCCAGCGTAAGCAGCATGAGACCCTTCCTCGGGACCTGTCGACTTACAAGATCGACATCCTGAGGATCCAAGAAGCTCGAATTTCTTTCCAAAGCAAGCCAAAGAACGGTACGTATTATCTCCTGACACTTCCATGTTTTAACCGTTGGCACAGTATTAGTTTCGCCGTTTCCCCTTACTTACGCAAGTTTCTTTACAGATACTGGGCCCAGTCCGACCGAGGTGGAGTCCTCCTGTAACGGGGTTACACGAAGGTGTGTATTGTACATACACACCTGCCACACCAATGTGGTGTGGCTGTACCTTGGGTTCAAAAGTAGGTGATGTGACCGTACCTGAAGTACGAAGGGTCACATCGTGGCAGAGAGCCACGTGGTCACTATACTTACTCATAGTAGTGACTATGCGTGTATGCATAATAATAATAGGCTGTAGAGCCAGTAAATAGTGAGTAGAACTAAGTATAAAGTAGATGCTGCTATATTTTAGTGTTAGAAGATAAACATAAAATACAAATCAGTATCAAACCTGCTCTGTATAGCACAAGTGATAGAGAGTTCTCTTCCTTTCTAAAGAAAATTTTATCTTGAGACTAGCCTCTTGGAGACGTGTTTTGTTTACAACTAAAAGGCGTGAGCCTGTGAATCTAGCCTTGACGGATTTAAATACCCTAAGACATTATAGCTCGTTGAGCCTGTCTTCCTCTGCACCTAATGCGTAAGTAGTTTTGCTCAAGTAGCTCGGCTACAACTAGTAGCACTTGTAGTCAATCTTGCACCTGGGTTTGCGACTGCTTCTCTTTGTACGAATGAATATCGATGAGATGCCCGTGATAAGGCACAATAGTATGGGTTGCAAAAGTTGCTCCCTATCATTTGCCCTAAGGGCGTGTCATACCTTATTGACAAGGAATAGAAGAGGCTAATAAAGTGAATACATGTATTATAACGCTCTCGTAGAACATGTAAAAACATAGATGCCTTTTTCTGGACGTCGCCCATGGCGGCTATGGTGCAGGAAGTGGGTCGCAGACTAAAACTCATTCAGATGAAAGTCGACCCC